TTCCCAGGAACAGCTAATGCAACTGGTTTAACCACAAATCTTCGTCCTTTGGATTTTGCTCTAAGCGCCGGACATTCTGGTTTCCAATGGCCTTTCTCACGACAATAGTTACAAGTATCCTCAGATTTTTCCCAAGCCACTTTCTTTGGATCCATCCCCAATGAACCAACATCAACAGCCCTTCTACTTCCTTCAAAAACGGGTAGAGCTCCAGCGCGCCCTCCGAACCTGCCCTTATGAAGTAACACAAACTCATCCGCTGCCACCGCAGCTTCGGACACCGAAGTAACCCTGTGTTCTATAAGTAGCAATGTTGTCAGGAAGAATGTTTTTGAACTGTTCCAAAATCATGAGTTCACCCAAATTGTCAAAACAAGTGATGTCCAGAGCAGCTAACCAACGTTTAAAATGAACCGACAAATCCCTCGCCATTTCCACATATGTTTGACCCTGTTTTTTCTCCAAGGACCTAAAACGCTGTCGATAAGCCTCAGGAACGAGTTCATATGCTCTAAGCACCGCCAATTTTATTTTAACATAGCTAGAGCTATCCTCCAGACATAACGCGGAATATGCAGACTGTGCTCTTCCTGTGAGCACACACTGAAGCATCAGGGCACAGTCTGCATCCAGCCAATCCCTAGCCTTAGCTACCCGTTCAAAAAGCAAAAAAAAAGTGTCAGGATCACTTTCATTAAATTGCGGTAACAAGCGCAAATTGTTAGCATCGAACCGATTATGGGACCTGGGCACCTGTTCACCATGCCGCTCACCCAACGCCGCACCATCTCTGACCATAGAAAGACGTTGTCCTTCCATATCCAGTTTGGCTCTCTCAGTCTCCTGCCGTATCCGCTCCACTGCAATTTTCTTTTCAACCTCCATCTCATGCTTCATTTTATCATGATTCAGCTGCAACAATAAAATCTCCTTCTGCTGCTCAAAGGACAGTGAACTAGCCTGAAACAGTGGTTTTAACAACACACCTATTTTCTCTGCCGGAAACACTCCCGTTTCACCTAATGCCGTCACAATAGAGTCTTTTATAGTGCTTTTTAGCCTCTTATCGCCGACGATTTCAACCGAGAAATGTTCAGCAATTACGAGTAGCTGCTCCATTGAGAAATTGTCAAGGGCTTCCTGAGATGGAGCCCTGATAAATGCGTCTACATCTGCCATACTATCACAGAACACCGGAGCTTACACTGAGACGAAAAGCAAAAAAATAAATGATTGGAGTTCCCCCACTAACTGCGGCACCCACTAACTAATCTCCTCCCTAGTCTTCATGTAGTTACTTGCGGCGGGTACTTATGCACTGGAGACCGCTGGCCCAGCAAAGCGACTAGCAAGCTAGCAACAATACTGCGACCACGGCCATGCCCCCAAGCCGAGGCTTCAGCCACTTTCACCACAACATTAAACACCCTGCCCAACGATCCCAAGGGAACCGTCGCTATAACCTACCAGGGGAAACTCCGCAAAAATAATGAACTAACTCCCAACACCAGCTTACCTTACCGGAATGGACGAGCCCCCAGCTGTCATGGCTTGGCTCTCAGCCACAACAAACGCGCGACAGAAACGAGAGCGTGAATAGAAAAAAAAGAGTTTATTTGGCTGCTGCTGAAGTACACAAACAGGCGAAACAAAAGGTCAGCTGGTCGTGACTGCTGTTCACGTTGCGTCCTCCTGCCAGAGAGAGAGAGAGAGCGAGATCCGGTCCAGTCCTTTATCCGGCTAGCTCCAACCGCCAGGTGTCCTCAATTCCCGTGAGCACACACAGAGGGAGAGTCATTAAAGGGCCACACACACGCATACCCACCACCAGAGATAGTGAGGCAGGGGTCGTCACATGACCCATCCTTCATGACCATAGGTGAGGGTAGGAACGAAAATGGCCCGGTAGACAGAGAGCTTTGCCTTCTGGCTCAGCTCCCTTTTCGTCACAACGGTGCGGTAAAGCGACTGCAGTACCGCTCCCGCTGCTCCGATTCTCCGGCCCATCTCACGCTCCATTGTTCCCTCACTCGAGAACAAGACCCCGAGATACTTGAACTCCTTCACTTGGGGTAAGGACTCATTCCCTACTTGAAGTGGACAGTCCATCGGTTTCCTGCTGAGAACCATGGCCTCAGATTTGGAGGTGCTGATCCTCATCCCAGCCGCTTCACACTCGGTTGCGAACCGATCCAGTGAGTGCTGAAGGTCGCAGACCGATGAAGCCATTAGAACCACATCATCTGCAAAAAGCAGTGGTGCAATCCTTAGTCCACCGAACTGCAGACCCCCTCCCCCACGACTACGCCTCGAAATCCGATCCATGTATATTACAAACAGGATTGGTGACAAAGCGCAGCCCTGGCGGAGGCCAACCCTCACCGGAAATGGGTCCGACTTACTGCCGAGGACCCGGACACAGCTCTCGCTTTGGGAGTACAGAGATTGGATGGCCCTGAGTAGAGACCCCCTCACCCCATACTCCCGCAGCACCTCCCACAGTAACTCCCTGGGAACTCGGTCATACGCCTTCTCCAAGTCTACAAAACACATGTAGACCGGATAAGCGTACTCCCAGGCCCCCTCCAGGATCCTTGCGAGAGTAAAAAGCTGATCCGTCGTTCCACGACCAGGACGGAATCCGCATTGTTCCTCCTCAATCTGAGGTTCGACAATCGGCCTGACCCTCCTTTCGAGTACCTTAGAGTAAACTTTCCCGGGGAGGCTGAGTAGTGTGATGCCTCTGTAATTGGCACACACCCTCTGATCCCCCTTTTTAAAAAGGGGAACCACCACCCCGGTCTGCCACTCCTTCGGTACTGTTTCCGACTTCCACGCAACGTTGATGAGACGTGTCAACCATGACAGTCCCTCAACACCCAGAGCCTTCAGCATTTCCGGGCGGATCTCATCCACCCCCGGGGCTTTGCCACTGTGGAGTTGTTTGACGACCTCAGTGACCTCCCCCCGGGAGATTGGTGTTGATCCCCCGTCATACTCCAGCTCTGCCTCTAACATAGAGGGCGGAGTTGTCGGGTTCAGGAGTTCCTCAAAGTGTTCCTTCCAACGCCCTAACACTCCATCAGTTGAGGTCAACAACGTCCCATCCTTACTGTACACAGCTTGGATGGTTCCCTGCTTCCCCCTCCTGAGGTGTCGGACAGTTTTCCAGAACAACTTTGGTGCCGCCCGAAAGTCCTTCTCCATGTCTTCTCCGAACTTCTCCCACACCCGCTGCTTTGCCTCGGCCACGGATGAGGCTGCTGCCCTTCGGGCCTGTCGGTACCTTGCAACTGCCTCGGGAGTCCCCCGGGATAACAAATCCCTGAAGGCCTCCTTCTTCAGTCGGACGGCTTCCCTGACCACCGGTGTCCACCAGGAGGTTCGAGGGTTACCGCCCCTTGAGGCACCTAGGACCTTGAGACCACAGCTCCCCGCCGCGGCTTCGGCAATAGAGGCTTTGAACACCGACCACTCTGGTTCAATGTCCCCAACCTCCACAGGAATGCCCGAAAAGTTCCGCCGGAGGTGTGAGTTGAAGGCCTCCTGAACTTGGGCCTCCTCCAGACGTTCCCAGTTCACCCGAACTACACGTTTGGGCTTACCAGGTCTATCCAGAGGCTTCCCCCGCCACTCGACCCCAACTCCCCACCAGATGGTGATCAGTTGACAACTCCGCCCCTCTCTTACCCGAGTGTCCAAAACATACGGCCTCAGGTCCGATGATACGATAACGAAATCGATCATGGACCTTCTGCCTAGGGTGCTCTGGTACCACGTACACTTATGAGCATCCTTATGTTCGAACATGGTGTTTGTTATGGCCAATCCATGACTAGCACAGAAGTCCAGTAACAAACCACCACTCCGGTTCAGATCAGGGGGGCCGTTCCTCCCAATCACGCCCCTCCAAGTGTCTCCATCATTGCCCACATGTGCGTTGAAGTCTCCCAGCAAGATTAAAGAGTCCCCTTCAGGAGCCCCATACAGGACTCTTTCCAGGGTCTCCAAGAAGGCCGTATACTCTGAACTGCTGTTGGGTGCATAAGCACACACAACAGTCAGAGTTTTCCCCCCCATAACCCGCAGGCGTAGGGAGGCGACCCTCTCGTCCACTGGGGTAAACTCCAACAACGAAGCACCTAACCGGGGACTTGTGAGTATCCCCACACCCGCCCGGCGCCTCACACCTTGAGCAACTCCGGAGAAGAATAGAGTCCAACCCCTATCCAGAAGTAAGGTTCCAGAGCCGACGCTGTGCGTAGAGGTGAGCCCAACCAGATCCAACTGGTAACGCTCCACCTCCCGCACAAGCTCCGGCTCCTTCCCCCCCAGAGAGGTGACGTTCCACGTCCCCAAAGCCAGCTTCTGTCGCCCGGGTCTGGTCCGTCGAGATTCTCCGCTTTCACTGCCACCCTTCTGGCAGCGCACCCGACCCCATCGATGTTTCCCGTAGGTGGTGGGCCCGCGGGACGGAGAAGCGGAGGTGTTGCCCACGTTGCCTTTTCGGGCTGGGCCCGGCCGGGCTCCGTGGCAAGCCCGGCCACCAGACGCTCGCCGACGAGTCCTCCTTCTGGGCCTGGCTCCAGAAGGGGACCCCGGGCTTCCTCCGGGCCGGGTATCCTCACTTCTTGTGTCGTCTTTCATGAGGTCTTTTGAACCAATCTTAGTCTGGCCCCTTGCCTGAGACCAATTTGCCAATTCTCTAAGTTCAACATACAAATATTTTCATGAACCGTGATATTGCATATTCATAAATACAAAAGTTTGTATATAACCTTACACATACCTTCACACATTTTAGAGTGGTAAAGCTCTGTGGGAAATTTGCTGTAGCACAAAGCAGGCCTATGGAGAGAAGGAAGTCAAGCAAATACTAAGTTTGCATGTTGCACGTTGAACATACAGTTTAGAAATAAGTACTCTGTTCTCTTTATATCTTGAATAGATGAGTATTGATTACAACTATCTGATACCTAATGAAACAGTGTAATGATAGTGATTTAGATGCCGATATTTCTTTATAGATTATTGACAGGCTGTTTGACACAATGAATGGACGCAATCCTCGTGCCAAAGGATTCAAATCTCCCTTGGGTGCTTTGAATTGGATAGAGAGGAAAGCATTTTTGTCAAGAGCCAGGGAGTACTTGCTCACTTTGGTGACAAAAGATGGAACACCACTTCACCGATCTAAGAGGTCTATTAAAATAGTGCTTGTTATTCATGCATGAAAAGTTCACGACATGAGTTCAACGATACTCTGTTCCGTTATGCATCGAGTTCATAAGATGCTCTGTTCTCTACATCAGGTTAATATGATGCTACTGTTACAATGTGTTTTCCTTTAGTTTGGTCTGCTAACATGATGCTCTTTTATTTCAATGTTTTTCTGTGTTCAGTTTTGTTTGTTGGAATGATCTTGTATTCATTGCTTTTGAGGTCCCAGATGCTTCTAAATAGTATGTATCACACAACATCAAGTTTTGCAGGTGTCAGAAGGAGGGTATGTATGTTGAAATGATGTTCTCTTGTTTCAATGTTTTTCAATCTGCAGTTTTGTTTCTATTTGAATTATCTTGTATTCAGTGTTTTTGAGGTCCCAGATGCTTCTAATGGTACGTATTACACAACATCAAGCACATGTAGGTGTCAAAATGGTATGTATTGCATGTGTTTCTTGTTCTCAAGTTATCCCAGTTCTGCAATTACATTGTTCCTAGTTAGCTAAACTGTCCTACAAGTATACTGTATATGTTTTGCCATGATCAGAGTAATACAATGTTTTTCTTTTGCAGGTACTTGTCAGTCATTGGATTTGTCATTAACATCGACACGTTGATGCTGATGATTCCTGAACTGCTCCAAGTTCAGCGGTATGTCCTCACCTACAGGTTCAGCCAGGATCACTTGGAGCTCCTATTTAATTCCATCAGAGCGTCAGGTAGGGTTGATGTTCTTTTAATTGCAATAAATTCTGAAAATGACTTATGAGTAATGTATGTATTGTGTGCCTGTTTTCCATACAAGGTGGCTGGAATAACAATCCATCTGCACGCCAGTTCCAGTCCATCTTCCGCCGTCTGATGGTTCGTTGTGGTGTTTCACCTAGTGAGACAGGCAATGTGGCAGCCCAAGATCACACTGTGTCCCTGTCTGCGGTAGAGATGTCCTCTCCTGAAACTGCTGAAGAGCACCCATCTCCATTCGCCAACATTTCGGCTGTTGTGAGTGACCACAGCTATCTTCCCACTCGGTTTGGTGGTCTGGTGGAAAATGCGCTGGTCTACATCGCAGGATTTGTAGTCCGGCAGATTCTGCGAAAGCTGTCCTGTGATGTGTGCCGTGCAAGCTTGGTCAGAGATGCTGTACCTTCATCATTTGATGAGAGCTACCACCTTCTAGCCCTGAAAAACCACGGTGGCCTAGTGATTCCATCACAAGGCACAGTGAAGGTGCTGAGAGCTGCAGAGAGGGTGGTTCGCCAAGCTTCAACAAGGCAAGCTCCAAAGGTGTCGACAGTCACCTACATTGTCCGGGAGGAGATTGGAACGAAGGATGTTTTTCAGCTTGGGGAACACATTGAGGAGACGCAGTTTGGCATCGACAACCATTATTCCAACTTGTTGTCATTGGTTGTGTCTGTGTTTCTGAAAATAAGACTACACCACATTGCCAAACTCACCTCTCTTGACCTGCAGAAAGGGAGCACGAGAAAGAAGCTCTGCAAAACAGTCCTCTTTCAGGGCTTTTAGCTCATTTAAACTTTCATGAGCAACTTTGTGTAAATATGGTTTGGGTCGGGGTGGTGTCATGTTCTTGTGTTTAACTTGAACATTTACATTTTTTTATATAGATATAGATGTAGATTTTCATTTTTTCTGACATAGATATAGATATTCATTTTTACTGATATATAACTTCTGTCTATGTATAATGTATTATTGTTTCTTCATTTTTCAACTTATTAAAATAGCTGAGTAGTAGGCTGTGGCAGCGGGGTGTGGTTAGGGCGCCGGCTGCTGGAGTGAAGGGAGTGGCTCGGCCGGAGGCCAGACAGCTGATCGGTATCAGGTAATCAGTGCCGGAATAAAAGCATGTCGTAACCTGGTTCTGGTCTGTTTTGCAGTAGGCGGGATCCTGGAAGGTGGCAAAAGGACCTGTGAAGGTTGCCACACGGGCAACGTTGGAGACCCGTGGATACTTTTGTTTGGAGCTAATAAAATTGTGTTACCCGAACCTGCTCTTTCCGTCCATATTTGAACCCTGTGTGAGCGGAGAGGCTCACATAGGCCTACACAATCTGCTTCTGCTTCTCTATCATATAGACCAGTCCTTCTCAAACTTTTTTCAGTAATGTACCCCCTTTGAAACATTTTCTCAGCCAAGTAGCCCCTGACCGATCCCGAACATTTTTGATCGAAAAAGCCTATATAAATAACTACAATATAGTGATGTTCCCTCAGTGTGTGATATATTAACTCCTTCGTGGTATGCATTACAACAAACTAAGGATATTTTCATTTTATGCATGAAAAAAATAACATAACACTTTTATAAAACAGATTTTTCCAATATGTTGTTATTGTGAAAAACTATAAAATCCAATACACACATTTGACATGTTTATATGAGGACCCCCTTGGTGGTTCTAGGAATGTTTTACATAAAATGGTGTTTTCTATTTAACTTATTTTACTAAGATTGTTTTTTTAATTAACCTTTTTTTTTTTATCTCACGTACCCCCTGCAGTACCCCAACGTACCCCCAGGGGTCCGCGTACCCCCATTTGAGAATCACTGAATAGACCATTAGTGTTTTTTTATATGTGTGTGTGTGTATATATTAGCCTATATTATATATCGTGTGTCTTTTGCAAAATACCTATCATACATAACATATAGGCTATCAAATACCCGAATATTCTATTGCTGTTAAGCCTAGTATGAATATTAAAATACGCCGAATCATGTGTCCGGTATCATGCCTACATATGACGTTTTCAGAAAAAAAACAACGTGAAAATCAGTTTTGTATTCAGCGAGTTATGATTGATTAAATGGGCTGACACTTCATTGCGCCTGCCAGACAGATTACACTGAGTGGAGCGGGTGACCGGTCCAAGATGGCGGCCCCACGGCTCGTCAGCGCCAATAGGCAGTAGCGGTCGATGCGGCGTCTACTCTTTATATGTCTATGGTATATTCTGCCTTAAATCTTAGACCTAGGTCAGGGATGGGCAACTTGGATGGTGGTGGGGGCCACATAATGTATGTACTGGCCACCAGGGGGCCGCAGATTCACTTGGAACACACACATACACACAAATTCCATGTATTGTATGTAATTATTAACAAATTAAGTCTGACATCTTCATTGACATTTTACAATCTTTCAGGGAACATCCTCTAATAAGCTCACTAAACAAATATCAGTTCACAGAAATGTTATTTAATTTTTACAAGTGGCGTGTTTGTATTTAACAGTGGAATACAACTATTTTAAACTATTGGAAAGCACGGAAAATGTGTGTGCATTTAAGATTAAACATTAAGATGACATAAACATGAAGTCATGAACACTAACCCAGACATTAGTTGTCTAACTTGAACCTTAGACACTTGTAGCCTGTCTGCTGATGCACAATAAGGGGAATGTTAACACAGACACATGTCAACCCGCACTCTGCTGTTCCTCAGCGCCGCTTCCCCTCCCTCCCGCTGGAATTTTTAATGAAAAGCGTATAGTAATCATAGATAACACGGCAGGGTCTGTGACAGTTTGTTTTCATCTGATTTCAAATAAACAAAGTCTTGGTTTTTAGAATATTAAACTTGTTTCGCCCAGGCATGACAACAGCCGGGCCCTTTCTCATTTCATCAAATCCCCCTCCTCGACTCCTCGGTCCTCCGGTAGTGACCCGGAAATACATTTTAGCGCGCCATGTTGAAGGACATCTCATTTCTCTAAATGCACTTCGAGGACCGAGCATCGAGGAGGAGCTATAACCGAGGATACACTGATGGGTCCTTCACGGCTCCTGCGCGGATGTGACGCACGGCCGGACTTATCTCAGCCAATGACAACTCTGCATGCATCCCCTGGATATTATTTTACTAACTGCTCTCATCGTGACGCGATGTTTACAGAGAGAACAGCTGTCCGTGCAGAAAGCAGAGCAGTGTGTATAATATATATCACTCAGTATAACAGGCCTACTCTCTTTATTTGCTTTAGTTTAGTAGATATCTACAAACAAAGAGTCGATATTTTTCTAAAACCATTCAGTGCTTCACATAATAAAATACACAACGGCTGTAGCCTGATTGTGTGTAGGTGTGTGTGGTACAGTGTGTGCGTAGATGCAGCGGACAGACAGGTCTCAGTTGGTTTGGTGTCCTCTGCTTACTTTTAATAGCCTACTTGTAAATAAAACTTTTGGCCCATAATTTATTTTCCTCATTGTAGCGACCAGAGAGGGGGGGGGATATATCCAGTCTCTGATAGTGTTACGTTATTATGAGAGTGCTCTGTGTGATTCTGAAATTGTATATATTTATATACGTGTGTGTGTGTGTGTGTGTGTGTGTGTGTGTGTGTGTGTGTGTGTGTGTGTGTGTGTGTGTGTGTGTGTGTGTGTGTGTGTGTGTCCGCATTGTAGCCTGTTATTGTCTCATTATACCGCACTGTGAATTAATTAAAAGTAAATATATAAGTGGTCATGAACACATCTGCGCAGACCAGAACAACTTCCTCGGCTTCAGGAGGAAAGACTCTGGGAAACTGGACTCTCAGGCCAGGGGCTTCGGGGTCTGGTCTGACTGGCCAGATCTCAATGACCTCTGCAATCGGACTGGAGTCCAGCTGAAATGGACAAGACTCAACACACAGACTGAAGTCCCTGTCTCTGATGAACTGATCACAGACCCCAGTGTGGTTGTGAAGGCCGACATCACAACACCTCAGGAAGAGACTGTGGAACTGCACAGAGACTCTGCAAGGAGGGTTCTGCTCAGCATGAAGCAGTCTGAGATCAGGCAGCACTGGTGTGGACTCAGACTACAGGGAAAGCTAGCCTGTTTGGGGTTTGCTGACCACTCAGTCTCACACTCAGTGTTTAAGAACGCCGCTGTTGGTGAGGATGTTCTGACATTTACCATCAAAGCAAGACTGCAGGTATTACCCACTAAGTACAATCTGTCCACCTGGTACCCTCGCATTCACACTCCATTCTGTTTAAACCATCAGGATTCACAACAACACCTAGAATCCATTGCACACATAACAAATGGATGTAATGCATACAAACGCCTGTACATAGCCCGTCATGACCGTATTGTGGACATTGTGTCTGATGCGGTACGAAACATCTTACCATCTAGTGCAGCAATGTACAAGCACGCTAGAGTGCTACCAGAATGGTTTGGTTTTACCAATGATGTCTTTGCTAACATCTCAAATACACCTGATGTTGTTTTTGTTGACACCAACCACAGGGAGGTGCTAATATTAGAAGTAGGCTGTGCCTTTGACCTGTACATGGACCAGGCTTTCCAGGACAAGTATATCAAATACCAACCACTGCTCGATGTGATAACCAGCTTTGGGTACAAGTGTAGATACAGCATACTTATATTCGGAAGTCTTGGCCATGTATATAAATGCACCATGATTGGTCTGAGAATTGCTGGAATGTCAAAGAGAAAAGCCAAACAAATTGCCAAATATTGCTCTGTTTCAGCTATTATTGGCAGCTTAGCCGTGTGGAGAAGGAGGTGCTATGTGTTCCCCTAAGTGTTCTGTGCTGCTTAGACCCGATATATTTGATTCCCTGTCTTATGTAATATAATTTGTGGAACCAAATAAAGTATTCAAATGTGTGTGTGTCCGCATTGTAGCCTGTTATTGTCTCATTATACCGCACTGTGAATTAATTAAAAGTAAATATATAAGTGGTCATGAACACATCTGTCCATCAGACAGAGGGCTGCTGTGCCTCCTGTCATCATTAATGGACGTCTCTTTAAAATGACCGCTCAGAGGAGAGGAGTTCTCATTTCTCTAACCGCCTGCTGCTTCCCCTCCTCTCTCCTCGGCTCCTCCGCTCGCATCTCCTGTGGGCGGGACTAAGTCTCGAGGATAGGAGTCGAGGAGGGGAGTCGAGGAGGGGAGTTAGAGAAATGAGAAAGGGCCCCGGTGTTTCTTGTGAGTGTTTCCCGGGAAACAAACACAATACACACAAACGCGTCACAGATTATTTTTGCGGTATTTGGCTGCCGAACGAAATCATGTACGCAGCTCGCGACGTAACTAGGAGTCTAGTGGACGGTATCAGTACTACAAGTAAAACAATTAAACATTTTTTTAATTTATTTTTATTAATTACGTTGTTTATCAATTAATCTGAGGGCCGCAAAAAGAGGCGGCCCCCGGGCCGCCATTTGCCCATCCCTGACCTAGATTAACACATGATTTATTTATTATGTGCACTGTTTGTATGATTTATTAACATTTATTTAAGAATAAGTGAAGTCTCATTTGTAATAACACTTTGATAGTAAATAAGGAAACATACTGTGCTCCTGAAAAGTACTTATAATTCAAATGGTGTGTAAGATTGTTTTATTGAGGTGACATTTATAATCTGTCACTCCCTTCCCCCTCCCCCATATTCTCCCTGTCTCTAACTGCAGACTATTACTGTTTGCGACTTTGCAGACCTGAAGTGTAAGTACACACATAAATAATAAATGCAACATTCTGCAATATGTTATTCTAATATCTAAATATAAACCATA